TCTTAACCCCCGAGATGAAGCTGCCATGATCGACTGGATCCCAAAGAACAGCCAGGTGTGCGTTGACAGACTGGCGGGCTCGTTCAAAGCATCGTAGTTGCGTAGGGACAAATGGCTCTTGTTTGCCATTGCGACCTATGCGCCCACAAATTGCAACGCTGATTAGATGAAAGACAACTTCTAGCACCAACTGAACGCGCTCCTTCGTTACAGAAAAGTAGGAATACTGTGTTGCTTGCTGGTGATTTGAAAGTCCAAGTTGGAAAACTGTCCCCTGATGAGCTTCATCTGATCGGCCAACACGGTGTAAGCGCCCGTAATGATAACAGTGAGCGGTTACTACAGCTGTGTGAAGATGCTCGTCTCATTCTTGCGAGTACTAACTTCGACACAGCTCCCGTAGAAGGGTGACATGGTGCCCACTAGCCTTGGAACAGCCATGGACGCAAATCCATCGCATCGTGATCAGTTACAGATAGAGAGGATGCGTTCAAAATTGGCGCTCGACTTGGAGCACGAGCGTGTACTCTGACCGCGCACTTGTTTGCGCCGAGCTGCGGGTGTGTTTCGGTGGACGTTCGTAACAGCGCAACAGATACTAGCCAAATGGCGAAGCCAAATGATCTGAATGCGTAAGCCCGCTGGCATCCGATCTGAGTAAGGGCTCACTGAACACAGCTGAAGATCACTGGTCGCATATCAGCCAGATGTTTTAACAGCAGACGTCTTCATGTGGCAGATCAAGTAGCCAACCTAGACATTGGGTCCCCACGTAGTCTGTGGAACATGAAGGTGCTCGCAGACGTATTCCGGCTAGAATAGAACATAATGAGACTATTAAAAATCTCAAGGCGAAATTCCGTGCTAGCTTGAAGAGACCAAGAAGCCTAGTGATCTCACGGTGCTTCGGAAATGGAGACAGCTGCTGTCCCAGGTAACCATCAGAAGACATTCCATACGAGAAACGGACAGTAGGGAACGTGGAGTTAGTGAGACCATATGCGACGTGTGGACAGTCGATCCACAGCTTGTCAAAGTGCCTGGAGCGTTTGGCCGAACAGTTTGAGAACCAGTTTAATCGGTCAAAGTTGCCAGGTTCTCCATGGGCCAATGTGCGCCCTACTCCTTGAGCCGTCCTCTTGGAACCGCCCTTAGGCCCTGAAATCAAATGAGATATCAGACAGCTGAAATTGAACAAAGCCGCCAAAACAGATGGACATCATCCAGCTAACTTAAAATTTGGGGGACCTGCTCTTTTGGACAGTTTACATAATAGTGAATCTATGGGATCAGGAGGGTGTACCAACAGACTACAGCCGCCACGTGAAAGTCCCAATTTCCAAGAGAAGCTTCCGTTCGGAATGTGGCAGTCATTGAGGAACCAGTTTGATTTCCATTGCCTCAAAGTTACGTGAATATGTCGTCCTCCATAAACTGACTAGTACCCATGAAAGCTAGATGCGCGAGGAGCAAGACGGGTTTCGTCGAAATCGAGACTACATTGACCACATCTTCACATTACGTTAGTTTTTGGAGCACCGCCATATTTATTGGTGACCTCCAGTAGTGGTGTTTGTAGACAGCAAAGGGTCATTCGATTCGGTTGATCGATGTGCTCTTTGGGACTGTCTATTGAGTAAAGGTGTGCCCAAAAAATATACAAACGTCATAAGAGCGCTGTACGCGAATAGCTCGGAAAGAGTGAGGGTTTATGTCAAAGTGTCACCGTTCTTCAATATATCCAGCGGTGTGAGACTATCACTAGTGTATGGCAAGATATAATCCCTATATCACGTGATCCACGTGCGTCAAAAATTGTCACGTTTGGAACAGATGATGTAGTGAAGGACTGTGTTCGTACGACTCATTTGCAACTCGTGATTCTCACTGGCTTCAGAGAAAAAATTTCTACTTTAATCTGGACTAGATGTAAGAAGAGATGACACACTAACCTGCTAATAGATGACATTCCTGGTTGAAAACCGTCAGGTCGGAAGGACACGGTCAACGCACGTGCACGACAATGCCACCCGCAGTAGTTAATGCTCGAGTCAGTGTGGAGCAAGTGATTTAATGTAAAGTTGATAGCAATTCCGAATGAAAACCCGCCTCAATTCAATGTTATCGTGGACTCTGAGGTGCGGGCAAGACACTAAAGCGACCAGCAATCGTTCTGACATGTCGGCGATATCTAGTTCAACTCACCAATATGTTGTGTTACCAGCTCGAGAGGCTGAAACAGCTATTGATGGTAGTATGGAAACTGTTTGAACTTGCAAAGCCGAGCCACGAGGCTTTACCAAATTCGTCACCTGTGATACCTTATAAATAGTACGCATATCTTTGGTGCAATAGATTCCTGGTCGAAGCCCAGCCTGACATATCGCGCCTTTGGAGGCCACGCGGTATGGTGACAGAAGAAAAGCAGAAACTGATGAGCACGCTGCAGCAGTTTTGGGTGGGTGCCGTCAATCGCGATGTCGACCCTCTTACGCGGATGACAGAGGGCTCGCTGCTGAAATAGAAGTAGATGGATTTCGTCGTAATGAAGTAGTTGCACAATCAACCGGTAGATTAGCAGTTGGTGGCGTTCCGTTATGCTGTTGGTGATGGAGCGAGAAATGTGATAGGTAATCCATTTTGATGACGAACATCAAGAGCTTGGTTTGAGCAATACGAGAAAAGGTTTGGTGGGTTACGTGTAGGCAAAACTGATGGAACATATCAATGCTATTTATTTTCGCTCAAAGCCGCTTTCCAAGTCAATCTGTTTAGAACCATGTCATTGAGCTTAATTTGCTAGCAAAAACGTGCGACTGCTTAAGCGATTCGCTGGTGAAAGATCGAACTGTACTTGACACTTAGGATAAGAAAAGTGTCTGAAGATCAGTGCAACAGAAATTCCTAACGCTGAATCAATGCATCGACATTTGCGATAGCGAGGCAGTAACGGCGTTCCAGTCTCGTTAGATGAAGCATGAAAAAATCGCAGAACACTATGCTATTTCTCGACACATGTGTGTACTATTTCACAGACTGCGTCGGCACGTGGACAGACCTGTCAGCACTGTAGAAGCAGTCACAAGTTGTCTCGCCTTGAGAGAGACCTGCATGAAGTGTTCGACGAAGAATCCCTCCGTGATATGTTACCGATCGAAGTAGGTGAATTCAGTCGATTGCGATGACGCGTCAGCCACCCTGAGATTTACCAATATTTACATGGAACATCAAACAGAAAAAAGGAATGTGTACGCGGCGTTGATTGTTGAAAAGCGTCCTGTACGTCTTCAGTTGGATACATGAGCCAAGGTTAGCATTTTGCCGAAGAAACATTGTTTTGGAGTGCGGTGCCACAGGATACAGCATTGGTACAAAAGGTGGAACGGCAGAAGATTACAGCAAAAGGACAGTGTCACGTTCGAGATCATCAATCCGGAGGATGGAACAAGCCATAAGATCAAGTTTGTCATGGTTCAGGGAATTTTCGTGTCCATTCTGGGCGTGGATTCCAGCTAGCAACTTGGTTTCGTTTCTTGTACTCGGGAGTGCTTTGTGCAGTCATGTTAAGTAACCACATATATCGTTCATCGTAACTTTAAAGTATTCGAAGAAGTATTAGAAAAGCTGGGTGAGTGTGTATAGCTATCGCTAAAGTAGTTTGTTGTTCTGACTGTCTTGCTTGCTAGAAAGATGCCTGTAGCACTGCGTATAAGATTTTATCAAGGTCTGGAGCGTCTAGCCGCAATCGATGTGATAATAAAGCATCCACAGTACGCCGGAATGGACGCTTCGCTGCCGCTCGTCCACCAGTTGCGCGTGGGCTGGGCATACCGCTAGTTCGCCCGCACCAGCGCGGATTCGAACCGGTGACCTCCGGATTACAAGGCAAGCGTACAATCCTTTCGGTCACCGGCCAGTCGGTATTAAAACCAAGGCTTACGAACTCACAGGTTGTGCCAGCCAGGAGGCAAATTTTACCAAAAAAAACCCAGTGATTCAAGGGTGTGTAATGATTCGAAACTGCTTAACGCAGCCTTTAAAACAGAATGCTAGAGCCTACCGAAATTAAACGATATATTGCCAGTTCTACTAGCGGCAAGGTTCTTCACAAAGGTAGATATGGCCTCCGCATTTTGGGACGGCATACTGGATGTTCGGCATACCATTCGGTCAGAAATTCTCCGGTTAGATTCCAAAAACGCCTGTTACAAGCATTAGATCTGCCAGAAATCATCTGAGTGACGGACGAGATGATAATATTCGGCTCCACCACAGAAGCGCACGATCGTAATCCGGAGCTGTTTCTCCAGAAATGCGTTGACAAAAGTATTAAACTGAAACACGACAAGGTTAAACTCCGCAAACCAGAAGTAGTATTTCTCGAACACACTTAAAGCTCCGATGGACTGGAACCTGATCCAGAAAAGATAAGAGCAATAAAAGAAATGCCACCCCTACTAACGTGAAAGGAGTCATTCGGTTGAACAGAATGATCAACTACCTGAGTCGCTTTCTACCAAGACTGGTGGAATTAATGGCGCCCACATTCAAACAGAGAGGCACTGGGAGAATGAACAGGAGAAAGCTATTAATCGATTGGAGCGGCTGCTCCAATATTCGCTTGCTTTGACTCACCACTACTTCTCGAGATACAGTGCGATAACAGTCAGCATGGAGTCGGAGCGGTGTTAATGCAAAACGGAAAACCGCTAGATTTTTTGAGTCATAGTGTGACATCGGTCGAAGGCCGTTATGCACAAATCCAGGAGATGCTCGCAATCACGTATGCGAACAAACGTTTTTGGATAAAAGACCACCTATCTACAACTGCATTGTCAATGATGCGTAGGTGCCTTGATGCTTTGCTTTTGCTTAGAATATTTAGGTGTAAGCATAGGACCAATTCCTCCCATCTGAAAATAACTTCCTTTGATGTACTGTTGTCGTTGTTGCTAATACTGTACTAAGCTAGCATGCAACGAACCCACGAAAGCACGCACTTGAATGAAGAACAATTTCGGTTTACCAACGAGCGAGACAGACACGTCACCGCGGAAGAACGCCATGATAACGTCCAATGGCACAGCACCGTCTGTGGCATAGATCACTCCATTCTCCCCGTGGCTGAGTATGAAGCACACGAAACTGTCGAACTGGCTGTGATCGAGTGACGACACTGGTGGAAGAGAAAACAGACAAGACTGTAGCAATGCGAAGGGGAAATAAAAGAAGTTTACAGATACACTAAACACGGCGTTATACAAAATCATTAGAGGATCGCAGGTTTGCGTAGTGTGATCGGACTTTTGCGTAGTGAGCTCAAAAATCGCTAGTTTACGGCAAGTTTCGCAGGAAGTCCACCAATATCATATTAGACCAGTCTGAATAGCTGTGTTCAATGTACGCACATCAACCGAAGCTCTAAGGGCTGAAGCAACAAAGATTCCGAAATCGTTAAGTGCTTGAGTGGCGAGTGCATTGACAACTCTACATGCTACCGAAAGATGCTGTCAGTAACAAAATGCAGGTCTTACGCTCAGGTATAGGCGCGAAGCGCAAATTGTTGTACATAGTGGGTGAAAAATTAAATCCATTAATGGCACACAAGGTAGTGAACCTGCCCCCAACGACCCCACAAGAAATGAGTTATCGTTGACGAACGTATCGACGCTTAGCTGTTCGATAATGACAGTTCAAGTCAGGATGGCGAATAAATAGGATTGAAACGAAATTATAAGACGACCAAAAATTCAGAATAACCAAAGTCCTACTGATCGGCATGATCGATAAAGGTTGGGAGTTATGGGTGTGAATGAAATGTAACCTCCACTCCTAATGGTAAAGCAGAGTTTGGCACGACTTATTGGTCAAGAATGATCCCGTGAGACGTGAAATGGATCCAATCGGCACAGAAAGAATGCAGAAACTAGGAATAACACAAGGGAGAATGTACAACCTACAGACAGAAAAGAAAGCAAGCAGAAGCAATAAGGCGAATGAAAGAACGCCATCGATCTCACCCCAGGTATGCCAGAAGGAGTCCCTGGACACCAATGCGGCACATCCAGTGGATCACATCCAGGAAAAGTTGCCATAGACAGCCCAGGCCTTTCGTCGATTTTTATCACCCTGAGTGTCGCAGAACTAGGGCCCTTAGGGACAAACTGTCCAGTTAACAAAGTGATATCATTGAAAATGGTAGCAAAATTAGTCATACGCTGCCTCGAGGCATAACCGGACCGCTTCCATAACTAAAGACGCTTCTGTATTCATAAGATTCCTCGTCTGCTTCGGTCAGACCAACTCACTCCAGTGCAGCGTAGATGCAGAGAAGCTTAAATGTCCAATCATCTGCTCCGTTCGGCGTCGACCGGTAGCCGAGTGGTCTGCACTCTTGACTTGCAATCACAAGGTCCCCGATTCGAATCCGCGTAGGAGTGGGCGTCTTCGCGGTTTACTCAGCCCGCGCGCCACTGGTGGTGGTCGCGCAACAGCGAAGCGCCGTTACCGTGTACAGCTGACACATTTCCGTTCTTTTGCGGCAATCCAGTTGCTTGCTTCGTCACGTAATCCCGTCTCGTCCCTCTGATTGCACACTCCCATCACATTGAGACTACCTGGTTAGCCGTAAAATCGGCAGTCTAAGGCAAACGGTAGATGAGGTCTAGAAAAAGCACGATCAATCTGAGGTAGACAATTCAAGTTCAACAGACGATCTAACGCAGTACTAGTGGTTTAATGGTGGTGACTACTCAATAGAAGTAAAAAAACATCAATAAGGTTTCATAAAGAGTTATGAACAATCGGTTGATTGATTTATTTGGCAAGGTTTCACTTTCGACACGACGGTACGGCATACGGACGCTTCGCTATCATGCGACAAGCAATAATCGCAAGTGAGCTAGGGATACGGCGGGGTCACTTGAACCTAAGCAGGCTCAAAACCGTACCCTGTGAATTAAAAGCCGGGTGCATAAACTTTTCGGCCGGCTCATTAGGTGCGCCGCCCAGAGTAGGCCAATATATCGAACAAATTAATGGTAGAAGACAATCAAGTTCTCAATGGATTTGGGGCGAAACGGCTAGGTCTCCGGTTCGTACAGTAAGGATGACTGTACTTAAGTTGCATACATCGTATACTGAACCGATGGGCCAGAACGCCATATCGGTAGATGATTGAGTCTGTAGAGCAACAGGGATCTGTTGTCTGTTCACTAGTGACGGGGCAATATCGCGAGGTTTCCGACCACAACTCCGGACATCATGACTGTCGATGGATGCACAATATGCTTATGAAATGAACGACAAGATATCCGAGCATCTGACTAGTAACATCCGCATGATAGATCTAGCTAAAGTAATCAACATAAAGTAGTAGAAAGTCGATCCGATGCAGGTAGGGAAAATAATGCCGCGTAAGCAGTGTGCTAATGCAGTAGTTTACCCGGAAGTATTCCGAGTGCGAGAGAATACGGTAGTGCAGATGGAATCAAAATACGAAAGCATAAAATTGAAAAACTGGTGCTTAAATCGCTTTGTCTTTTGACGATCCAACATTCCATCCATGCAAGGAGTAATGCAAAGAGAAGTCGCTAGTTCACATAAGGCCAACTTGAAGCCACCAATTCTATGGCTTTGTGAATGGCCGGAGGAGTTTCGCTTTCTTCACGTATCAAGCAGCTATATGATAACAGAGATCTCAAGTAGAATGCCCATTTGTTACGTCAAGTTTCGAAAACAAAACACGAGGCTTTGAGCAAACAATTGTTTTCGATTACTTCTTCATCAGGCTCATACAGTGATATACATTATGTTAACGTCTGCTGCAATCGTTAGCGTAACAAAGAAACAATTGTTCAGACAATTTAACTTGTGATCGTGATGGCCTTCATCTGCTCACGTGACTGGGGTCAGGTGAATTTGCGGAGTACCATTACTTCCTTCACGGCTCGTGGTCGGCCAGGGAAGTTGTAGTGTTTGTATTAGTTTCTTCTGAACACACAAGTCCGGATTTGTTAGACGTATGCATATTGCCTCAGCGGTGGCGAGTATGCTTGCTGCTCTTAGACGATGATTTTGTCTTGATGGTATTTTGTAGAGAATTTGAAAGGCTGTTCGTTCTCTATCTGGTGACCTGTGTTTGCTAGATGGTTTGTAATCGCACTGTAGTTTGTTCTATTCTGGCGCTTGTAGAGCCAACCTGGCAGGTGTTCCTTAATTCTCTTACCTAGATGCCTGGTCGTCCGTCCAATGTACATGGCCCCGCACGGGGAGGTTGAACCGGTAGATTAACATCGATTGGAGATGATCAGGCACTCGGTCTTTGAATCTCGGAACTAGTAAAGGTCTGCTCGTGAAAATCACATTCAGTTGAGCCGCATTAAAGGTCTTTTTGCAACTTTGCTGTAGTCGGCATGTGCATGTTTCAGGCGCACTATTTCCTTTGAATGGAAGTGTCAAGTAAAGCAGTTTCTTTACAACGGTTTGTTTTGATACTTTTGGTATGCATCGCTTCATATGGGTCTCGATAAATCGCTCCGGATATCCATTTTCGAGAAGCGCCTCTTTGATTCGTGCGAGTTCGGCTTTTATGGTATCTTCGCTGCAGATTTTATATGCCCGACCGGTTAGCGTTCGTACCAGCGTTCATTTTTGGCTGAGTGGGGCGAAACTATGAAAGTTCATGTATTGTCTCGTCCAATATGGTTTCCTGTATACTTTTCTTTGGATTGATCCATCGGTTCTTCTGATAAGACTTGCGTCCAAAAAATTCATTTGGTTGTTGTTTTCTTCTTCAGCTGTAAGTGCGGCATTGGAGTGCGCATTGTTGAAACAGTTGATTATATCTTGGGGTTTGGTGGTCCGATCACTTATACAAATTATATCATCCACATAGCGCCGATAGAATTTCAGACCGGATATGACCTGTTTCAATGGACCGTTTTCTAGCATTCCGATATAAATATCCGCTAACAATGGACCAAGCGGGGAGCCCATTGCAATGCCATCAACCTGTCTACAAAACTCACTATTGAATTGAAATTGAACGTTGTACGTACATCTGAGTATCAGTTGTTTCAGTTGGTTGCTTCGTATACCGATATTTATACCATGCTGGTCAATGTATGATCACAGGTAGTTAACTGTTTCTATTAGAGGCACGTTGGTAAACAATGAAACAACATCTAAGGAAAACATCCGATGTTCTTGGACATTCATATCTCTAATTTCGTTGATGAACTGGAATGTATCTGCCAGTCCGTGAGGAGCAATCATTTGTCTGATGGGATTCAGCATTTTTGTCAGCCACTGCGCAATGTTGTGGTACGGTGAATTCCCCATATCTAGTATGGGTCTCAATGGTGTGTCAGGTTTATGTATTTTTGGGAGATCATAAAGGCGAGGAGTAGTGGAGTCTATGGGACGAAGTCGGTCGTACGTTTCTTTGGTGATGGCGCCGTCGTTCACTAGTGATTTCAAACACTTGATCAATTGATTTTCTACACATTCTGTTTTATCTTTCTGTTGTTCACATCTCACGAAACGTGAAGTGTCCGAGAGTATCATTTTCATTTTCTTGATGTAATCTGCACGATCCATCAGCACAGTCCCAGATCCTTTGTCTGGTTTGGTTATGATGAGATCTTCGTTTTTCTGAAGTTCTCTCAAAGCATCAAGGTGCGCTTTTGTCAATAGTCCATGGTGTTCTATTAGTTGTCTTTGGTATTGAAAGGACACGTTGACCTTGATGCTTTGAGAGAACTTCAGAAAAACGAAGATCTCATCATAACCAAACCAGACAAAGGATCTGGGACTGTGCTGATGGATCGTGCAGATTACATCAAGAAAATGAAAATGATACTCTCGGACACTTCACGTTTCGTGAGATGTGAACAACAGAAAGATAAAACAGAATGTGTAGAAAATCAATTGATCAAGTGTTTGAAATCACTAGTGAACGACGGCGCCATCACCAAAGAAACGTACGACCGACTTCGTCCCATAGGCTCCACTACTCCTCGCCTTTATGATCTCCCAAAAATACATAAACCTGACACACCATTGAGACCCATACTAGATATGGGGAATTCACCGTACCACAACATTGCGCAGTGGCTGACAAAAATACTGAATCCCATCAGACAAATGATTGCTCCTCACGGACTGGCAGATACA